AAAAAAAAAAAAAAAAGACTGAAAGAAGGGCTGAGATTTTATGTTACATATACCTTCTTCATCAGGAAAAATCACTTCCAAAATCCGTTCATCTAATACAGATACTAGACTCAGCACAACTCTTAATTGTAATAACACTGTGATTTCGGAAGGTTTATCTATTTACTTAGATTTTGGCTTTTGGTAATCAATGGTAATGCTATTAATGACCCCATGATCAATGTATACCAGCAAGCTTGAGGTATTACCTCAGACAAGAAAGCATGTTCTGCATCAGGGCCCGCTTGAGTTTTCATTCGCTTGATTGCAACAGTTCTACCATCTCTGAGAGTACCACGATACACGTGACTGCTACCTCCAACTCCTACCAAATTGTCATCAGAAAATCTGTTTGTTGCACTTTCCAGCTCAAAATATGAAAATTGTGTTATTGTTCCTTGTATTGCTCCTTGTCTGGTTCTCAGTAGGAAAGAAATCCTAGGAATGCATCCTTTAGACAAGAAAAACAACAATTAGGAAGGTGCTAAGAATCATTACATAACCTGCCTCAGTTAAATAATTGGGATATCCACCACAATACCCCTGAAATTTAAGGTTTTGAAGAAAATAAATAAAAGAAAAGCTTTATAAACGAGTTTGATTATCTATTAACATTGCTAGGGTATAAATGTGTTTGAAGACCTTTTTTGTTATAAGAGGGGAAATGTAAGGCTAAATTCTACCACTAGGAGCACTTTTGCAGTTCGAATAACCTATATAGCTCTCTTTTTATTTTTTATTTGTTTAGCACCACCCAAAAAACTTAGGGGTGGTGGGTTTTGTAATTATCTCTAGATAATTTCACAGTTTAAGTATAGATTAACATATTTCAAGACGGGGAGATATACCTAAATAAGGCTTGACAGAGGAATCTTGATACTCTTTATACACAAGCAATGAAGACGACCCTCGGCTCATCAAGTTGGTAGCACTACTGAAACTTGTTAGCTTATCTGACGAAGATGAACTCCATTGACTCCGATGTCTATCCTTCCAATGGACAAACCATAATACTGAGGCCACTAGTGCAAGAGCCATGAGGACTAGACATAGTAAGAGAACAATTACGACAACTTTGCTTGAAACCCACTTCTTTGGAGGCTCTAATTCAGATAAAGTCCCTATAAAAAACACTAAGAAAATTGCATAAGCATATAATCATAAACAATTGAGCAATGAGCATTGAAATTCTAATATATTAAGTCCTGGTCAATCATGTTATTGGCAAGCCTCCCACTATGATATTGATATAAAGGAAAAGAGATTTTGCAACCTGATATTTAGTTTATACAGTTTTGCATCTTAGGCTATCATTTTTGTTAAGCTAATGACCTAGTTCATATGGATTTTTTATTTTTCTGACATAAAGGCTAAATTAAAGTTCAGGTTATAAACAAGAAAAAACAAACATAGAGAAAAATAAGAAGAAACCCACAGTACAGTTTGGACTACAAATGAAATTTTCTAGACTTGGAAAACTGCAAATTTACATGTGTTCATTCCAGATGACGCTTTTATGGCCGAAAATTACCTGCATTGCAATTGCATGCTGTAAAACAGCTGCCTTCATCATCACCCACCAATCTTGGAAACCCACCATTAGAGCAAAAGCACGTCCATTTGTCTCCTCTTGATCCCCCCACAGCTGCATATTAACAAGGAAAGTAGATTAAAAAACTTTGAGAAGTTGATGTTAATCTAAAGAAGAACGTGAATTCAAATAAATTGACACTATGATTAAAAAAAAAATCTAGAGGATATTTGGCGTGGGCATGCTTGAATTGTAAACTGTTTCTTTTCCGGATAAGAACAATTCTTCTACCACATTTTTTTTTTTTTTTTTAGTTATCTTTAAACTATATGAAGAAAAATTTCTGATACCAGGGCTGCAATCACAGGATGAAGAACAGTTTGCTGGGATGAATTTCAAGTTTGCTTGATACGAAACAGAGCAAGAGCATGTCCACTTGTTAGTTTCAGACTTTGTCGACACCCCATCTGGAAATAAAAGCTTAACTTTCAATATAATGCTGCCAGAAATTTAATTAAATGTACCATCTTTCAAGATTTCGGCAAGTTCAATAAAATCTTGACAAAAGAAAAAATAGAAGTAGATAGAGTTATGTGAAGAACGTTGAATTTACTCACCACAAAAGACTTGCTGAATCGAAACTGCATTAAGGATGCAAAAAAGTGCGATTTCTACCAGAAGCCTCATTTACTTAGAACCAGCAAAATCTCTGAAATTGGAAAATATCCACGAGATTATAACAGTGTATATATCCAACTTCAGTCGACCACATTTCAACTAGAGAAAATTGTTTTTCAAGATAGCATAAATATCAGGAAAAAAAAAAAAAAAATTGAGTCAGCAAAGTTGACAAAACGCAACCGAAAGAAGACTCTTTGAAATTTGAATAGGAGAACTTGGCATATATTTTATCAGCAAATGGAAGCCCTGCAGAGCTATTAAGAAGTCTGCTTAGTATTTTTTTCAGAGACCAGTTCCGTAGTTCAGCTATAACTTGAAACTCGTAAAGTAAAACAGAACTCACTCGCATTTGTACACACATTTTCAATAATAGATGTGAGTTGAATATCCGTTTATCTGAGCTCTGAAGACCTCAAATACTGAACTGGTACGTGCTGTGTAATGTTTAAATATATTACAACAAGAACATTTTTTTCTCGCAAAAGTATTTCATAAATATGACGACATGTATTATTCAACAGATTTTACCTCAAAAAAATCCAATGCTTACCAATCTAACAGCAGTTTGTCCAGTCTCATGAAGTAAATTGGAAATCATATAGTATCAGCCTGAAGAAAACTTTGATAGTAGCCTTTATTTGTATTTTGGGCTTCAAGCTTCCCGACTCATATCCAAATTTCTCACCTACAAAATAATGCCACTCTGGATGATGTATTCCTTTGAAAGGTAAAATTTAAAAACTAGATCAATAAGGAAAAATAAAGAAAGAGAAAGGCATCAAAAACCAAGGACTTAAATATTCTGTAGTACATGGTTGGCAAACAAATCTCTCACTTCTTGGCCTATTTTTTTCATAAAAAATATACATAAAATAGTAATCTTCTCTCCATCTCCATCACCATTTATTTCTTCAGAGAATGAGGAAATCATCCGATCAAAAGGAAGTGCTTATTACAGAAATGACGGTTTTAATCAAGGAAATTCAATGTGAAACTTTTGTGATAGTGACACAAGCCTAGTAAGCTTAAGTTACTCGTAGTTTTGACCTTGCCAATAAAGACTCCATGGCTTAATTAAGTTAACGAGCTAGAAACCAACTCTGAAATAGTAATATATCTCGACTCATTAATTTAATGAATTTTGTGATAGGCTTATAAACTCTATGAACAACCGACAATATCCAAAGCCGTATAAAATTTTGATAAACGTCCCAACTTGCAAGAGTCATGATCAGAAAATGAATGCATGAAAGGTAATCAAAAACAAAAGGAGTTTCAATAATCTTACCCGCTGATTCTCCAGACTTCAAGCATGGAAAAATGCACTCGTGAAATTAAAGCCAAAAGAATTCAGCTACATAAAAAGACACATCAACCGACGATTGATTGGAAAGCTAGAGGTGAAATGCAAGAGTAAGACATTTGAAAGCAAGATAAACAAGAATTAAGGCATATGGGGTTTGCTACATTGAAAATCCTGATTATGATAAATATAATATCTACAAAATAAATAAATGTAGCCCATCAACTAACCAAACTCCTTTGAAAGATACCATTTCTTGAATCTGACAGAGACCCCTCACCGGATACAATTGAGTGCACAATGTGTGTGTTTGCACGCGAATTGACAAAAGGAGAAATTCAATATAAGATGCATTCAAAACAAGAGTAATAGTACTTTGTCATGCCTATGATCGAAAAAGGCAAAACAATAAAAAGAAAATGGATGGTCTAGTGCCAGCAGATACATATGCCCAACGGTTAGAAAATACAAGAGACTTTGCTTATTAGACATAATTAATAAAAGTTTAACAGTCCACAAGACCATTTTAGTTTTTTCTTTTATTTTTTTTTTTCTCTTTTTTCTTTTGGGGGGTTGCACAACGATGATGTGTTTGAAAAGGATGTGCAAATTTTTTAAATTTTGATCAACCCCACCACTTTGATATTTCTTGTCGGTAGAGTAAATAAAAATTATTTTTCTTGCCAATTTAAGAAAAGAACGATTTGTTTTTCCCACATTCATAAAAGAGCAACTCAAGTTCCAAAAAAGCAATAAACAAATAATTGCTCCCATTTCGCTTGCAGGGGAAGAAAAAATACATACCAAGAGACCATCTCTTTCTCCTTTTCCATTTTCAAGTAACAAACACATTATGCAATAGCAGTTCTGTTCGAATTTCGAAATTAAAAATCTCCAGTGAAAGTAATTTTTCAAACAGGTCACGGGTACATAGATAAATGGAGCCACTAGCGGCATTTATTACAGAAAACATTAACAAGGTTCAATTTTGTTTTCAAACTAAAGAAAGCTTCTTTCAGTTTTTTCTAACTGATGTTGACCAATTTTAATAACACGAACATATTTAGGCGCTAAGCATTAAAAGCATACATGTGAGCTAGAAAATTACCCAGAAATTGGTAGCCTCTTCATTCTTCAACTCCAGCAGCTATACATACACGAATTATGCATATAAAAAGGGCTAATATGTAGTGCAGCTCAGAGAAATTGGAACCTCGAATCTAAAAGAAGTTACAAATGCCGACAGACGTGAAAGCAAAAGCAAGCAAAAT